AAAATAAACAAATAGAGAGAAAAATAAAAATGGGAGAAACAAAAAAAATAAAAATAAAAGAGAGAGAGAAAGAGAGAGAGAGAGAGAGAGAGAGAGAGAGAGAGAGAGAGGGATCTTGTTCATCTTTTTTTCTCCAGCAACGGCCACATGCCAACCTCACTTGCTTGGCTCTCCTGCCGATTTCTTTCTCCTGGTTTCATCTGAGGAAACCCTTGAAAGCCCTGCTTCAGTGCTTGCAAGGCCGCCGAGAGAGTTGCCCCCCGCTGATCATCAAAAGCAAAGTATGAAGGTGCTCCAAATCGGGCCATGTTAATAATTAGTGTCCCCTTGCTTTATGCTTTCGGTGCCTCAATTGGCATCCTATGTTGTCTTCTCCTCTCTATAAAGAGAGTGTACATCTCTTTGTAAATATATATAGAAATACACAGAAATATAGAGTTATTCATTTGCTCTCTCTTCTCTCTTCTCTCATATTCAATATACACAATTCTCTCTCTTTCTTTATACATAAAACTAACATGGTATCAGAGCGAGGTTAAGAACTTAGTAATTCCGCTTCACCGGCGGGGGGCAGCCTCGCCTTGGCCGCCCGCCGGACCTCTCATCTCTCTTTCTCAGCCTTCAGCCTCTGCTTCTCGTCACGAAGCTCATTCTTCTCAGCCTTCAACTCTTTAATCTTCTCCTGCAGAGTCAAGTTTGAATCCCTCTGCTGGATGGTTTTCACAGCATGATGCGCAGCATCATGAACCACAGGATCATGTGTTGGCACTGCTTGCCATCCTGGGCTATGCCCATCTTTCTTAACACCAAGATCTGACGGGGTTAATGCAGGAGTGTCACCAACATCACCAGCATGCTTGAATTCCTGCAATTCCTTGAAGTTCATCCATGGCTTCACAAAAAAAAAAAAAAAAAAACAAAAAAAAACAAAAAAAAAAAAAAAAACTTTTGCCTCATAGAGTTTCTTCTTACCCGCATCAACAGCCTCAAGAGTTATATGGTGCAACGCACCAGCAACCACCTGTTCTTGTGCCTTCACCACCCGCACAAACTCGAAGAGTGTATTCTCTTTTTTGTTGTGTTCTTGGATGGCGAATCGGGCGAGATTATCGATATCGGCGGTGTTCTGGTTGGACGAATGAGAGTCGTGTATTCCTCCGAGAGTAGCCATGTTTGTGCTACAAATAAAGCCTTCTTCTTGAGGTTGAATTTGAGATACACCTACCACCGCTGGGACTAATATCGCAACAGAGAAGCAGAACAACAAGATAGGCCTCTCTACTTTCATTTCATTTCAGTTTTTTTGGGTGATTTATAGCGTTTTCTTTCACAGTTGCAATACACAATAAAGCTCTGCTCTCTCTCTCTCTCTCTCTCTCTCTCATCCTTTAATGCCTGAGAGTTTGATACGTGGCGAACGCGTGTCGCTTTCATGCTCTTCCTCAGTAAAAATGTCCTTTGCTTAACTTCTAAGCATTCTGCCACAATAAAGTCAAAGTTTTCATCTGGAAAGTAAGTTAACTTTTTTTATTTTATTTTTTTTGATATTTTAATTATTTTAATTTGCAATAAAAAATTTTGCTTGATTTTTTTTTTAATTTTTTTTAATCTATTTTAGTTAATCTACTTTATATTTTTATAAAAAGAAAAAACCTCATTTCAACCTAGGTAAAATAAGAGCAAAGTAATGTTAAGGGCCCATATTTTGATTATATTCGTTTAGTAATCATTCGTTTAGTAATCTTATGAACTTTACATTACTCATGTTAGGGGCCCATATTTTGATTATATTCATTTATTTGTATCTTAAAAAAGTAGGTTGGGAGCTTCTATTTGTATTAGGGGTGGTCGCGGTTTAGTTGCGATCGGAAAATTTCTAATCTGTCATCTATTCGCCGAATTTGTAGATAAAAAAAATTAATTCACATCCGTTCGCCGAATTGACGGATACAGATTGAGCGGATTAATAGATTGGCAGATAGATAGGAATTGATTTGGCAGTTTAAACTTTTATAAATTTTAAATATAATACAACTTGTCAACATTTTTTTTGAATAACAATCTAACTCAATATAACCAAAACATTATCAATTAAATTGTTAAATACCAATAATAAATATATATAAGAAAACCATACATTATTAAAACTATTTCATTACTCTTTTTTTTTTAATTCAAAAACTATTTAATTTGATTTTTTTTAAAATAACAAAATTAAGCTTTATATTTTGCACACAAAAATATCAAATATTAATACTTGTCATTTGATAAAATGATTTCTAAATTGAAAACATAACAAAATGTCTAAACTTTTTTTCAATTGAAAACACAAACAGAATATCTAAATAAATTGAAAATACAAAATCTTACAAATTACAAGGAGTGCTCGCGGTTTGGCAATTCGGTTGCGGCCAAAAGAACCTAAAATTCGCCATCCATCCAAAACTAAGCGAATTGGAAAAAAATCAATCCATAACTGTCTGCTCATCATCACACATTTGTCCAAAATGCAGCGCATCGGTTTGGTTCGGTCTGTTTGGACGGATCAAAATGTTCACAGAGTACCCCTAATTTGTACTTTAAAATGTAGGTTGAACATCTTAATTTAATGATATTTTTTGAATAATTCTACTTATATCATTAGTTTATTTTTTTTACACTCTTCATATGAGATTTTTTTTTCTTCTAATTTTACCTATGTGTGAAATTACTATTAATGACAAAAGATTAAAATTAAATATATTTTATTATCTCCTTATATCTATTGTTCTTCAATCCCTAATGCTCTTCTTTCTTTTTCAGTTTTTATTCTCTGTTACATATTTCTTTTCAAAAAATAAAAATCTTAGTGTTTTAATCATAGAAGATAGTAATGGATGAAGAAACTGTGGTAAAGAACCATCAAAAAAGTGAAATGATGAATTTTTTTAAACTTATTTGGTAGGTTTTCGTTTCTTTTTTTTAGAGAGTTCTTCAAATTTTGTTTGATGTGTCAAAATCGAACAAAATAAAATAGTTTATAATCATATTGCCAAACAAAAAATATATATCCGGTAATCTACTGTCAAAAGAAAGATACATTTCTGATAACCTAAGCCCAAACATTTTAAATCTGTTTGGTTACTCATTATCATGCATTTTCAGTTTCATTTTATGTATATACATATATATATATATTTTTTGCTTAAAACGATTATGCTTTTATTTATTGCAGCAATGCAAATACAATCATTTAGCTGCTAAACATCTTGAAGGGCACTCATTTGCTGGTAGATTATTTAATGAGGAAACATCCCTGTTAGTTGACATATCAAAGAATATGGTGCGACCGAAAGAGATACTGATTGCATTGAAACGAAGGAATGCCTTTAGTACGACAATAATGAAGACAATCTACAATGCACGTAAAGTGACAGGTGGCTGGACAAATTTATTTTAGTTCGGCCATATGATACTAGAGTAAGCTAATTTGTATAGTAATGTGTCACCGAACAGACACTTCACAAATGGACCCCAACTAATTTCTTATTAAAGTAAAGTAAAAGCATCCAATTGAATGACAACAAATGGACGGAAAAAATTAGTTTGTTTGGTAACATAACACTTGAGTAATTCACTTTAGCATTGTATTACCAAAAGTTATCGGTGGAGTGACAAAACTGAAAGAGTTTTTAGTTTAGAGTTAGTTTTGTTATTATAATGGGTGTAATGAGAATCACATTTTTTTTTGTGGTGCAATGAGATAGAGGGTATAAAGAGGTAAATTAGTGGTGTAAGTAGAATTACTCATTATTCTAACCCAAATACAACAATACCCATCATTAATCTTATATCCTTATTTATGACTTGGCTCTCTCTCTACACCGAGGAGGGGGGGTGTGTTGGTTGGTAGCTCGAATTTTTTGTGTCCCAAATTTGCCCAAATGATGTGGCTTGATGATGTAGCGATGATGTGAAAAATAATTAATTAATTAAATTTTTTTAAGATACTAAACCTGATTGTTCTTGATAATATACAATTTCTTGAGATATTTTACCAACTCTTTTTCTAGTAAATTCTACATCTTTAAAAGTACCAGTATTTAATAGATTTTGTAAAAAGGTATACTAGTACTTGATTTTGATCTTGTAACAAATCTTAGATATAGAAATGATGATAAACACTTATAAAAAGGAAAAACTTATTACTTCTTATAATTTTAAGATGTTTTGATTTTAGGTTTACTATACTTCCAAAATAAGAACAGTATCTTAAGATTTTGACCATTACCTGAACGTAATCGGCGTAAGGCTCTAGCGTTGGCAAGCTTCTAGTTTACAAAGGTGGCTAACCTCAACCTTTCCTTCCCTAGATCAGGCTCAGCACAAATCTGTTTCGTTTTCTACTTTAGACCGTAACATCAAAAACTGTTTATTTGGTTATGTAGGAGATCTAAGATCAATAACTTGACATGTAACGCCCTCAAAAGACATAATATAAATACATCTATCAAAACACAGTCAACTTCAAAAGATCCATCTTCCTTATTGAACTAGGATTTTTCCTGTACAGTTCCACATTTAACATAATAATTACACTTCCATATATAACATAGTTCAATAAGTTATAGGACAAAATAATTAGCCTTAAAGGCTTACAACACTTCAAGGCAATGCCTTGTTACAACAAAAATGGACTCACGGTCCTAAAAAATAAGCTTGGAGCTTCCATATTTACACATCCCAGAGCCTTGGCGCTCTAATCCAAAGCAAAAGAGTATGCTTCAACTTACTGAGATGGTGGCACATCACCACTTCTGGAAATGTTAGATAGGAATGAGCAATATGCCCAGTAGAGATACATTTAACAAAATATCTAATCATTTGAATATCTAAGCAGCATCATCATAACTCAAATAAAATTTTAGAGTTCATGTCCAAAAATTTCACGGTTAAGAAAACAATTACAATTATTTTATTCCATAGCAATCGAAAACTTTTCTCAACACAGGAGGTAAATATGCCATGAATCCCTTGTAGAAGCCCTGTAATACATATACATATGGGTTTACAACTATAACTATTTCCCACATTTGCTGGCTATTAATGTGGCGAGTGGTGGACATCCAAAACCATCCGTTTTTCCACTTTTACCGGCTATTATACTGCAGGATCAGTAGACACCCAAAAATGCTTTCCACATTGGTCCGGTTCCCTGCGTGGGTACCAACACAACACCTTGTTCTCAAAACCGACTCCCTACATGGACTGACACTCTATTTACCTCATCTTCTTATCACATTCCAAGTAATCAACTATTCAATAAAACATGAGAATAAATACATGGGTTATAAATTTCCAAGTCCACAATCTCAACTAAAAATACATTAATAATATATTCCAAACTCTAATTATCCACACCATTCAAGGGTTGAAATCCAATTCCATCTAAGCATCATATTTCCCAAATCAAAACTAGGGCTTTAACAAATTTGGGACTTTTACCCCCTCTTTATATATATGATACTACTCAACACCAATATTCATAGTCTATAAGAATTTATTTGAAATTTTAATAAATTTTGGTTAAAATCCCCTTGTTTTAAACATAAGCGTAACTTTTGTTTAATCATCTAAATAAAGTGTGAAAGTCACCACAATACCACATGATCATCTTCAAAACAAAGAGATACTAAGTTAAAAGTAACCCTACCTCAAGGAAGAGCAAGAAGGCTAGACTTTTTTTGAAAAATCCTTCGTAAAATCCAATTCCAATTGGTAAAAATGAAGATCCTTAGGTAAACTCCACCTCTAGTAAGTGATTTTGGCTTGAAACCTATTGAAATGAGAGATATGTGCAGAGGGAAAACTAGGGTTTCCAGACAAAGAGGGAGAGAAAGGAAGAAAGGAAAAGAAAAGTGAAGAAAATGATCTAAAAAATAGTTTTTTAAATGCTGAATTCCCATAGACCGCTCGAACGGTCTTTTCAGCACTAGAGCGGTGAACGATACCTTTCAGTATCTCTGTTTGCAAAACGAGATATTGGGAGCTCGCGATCTTCGCTTGAGCAACCACGTGTTCACTCAAGCGGTCCTTAGGCCTGCAAAATAAACTACTGGGAGCACCTGATCTCTATTCGAGCGGTTTTTTCACCGCTCGAGCGGTCACCTGAAACAAATTGTCACATGACATACCGTAGTAACATACTATTTTCTAGAAATGAAAAAGATTTACAAAGAAAGAGGTGCCTGTAGACTGTTGGATTGTTAGAGTATTGTTTGCTCTAAGAAGGTTTGAGAACTAGACTTCTTTCTTAGTCTCAAGTATACTCTAAGTAATTTATGTCCCTTTTTTACTCTCCCTCAAGGCCTT